ATAATAAATTATTTATGAATTAATCAATTTAATACATTCAACTCTCATGATATTACCATTCGATTTGATTCATAAATAAAAAGATGGAGAAGATCATATTGGTTGAGTAAAGTATATTAATTTGTAGAAAATTTCAAGAGCAATCTTTTCATTAAAAAATAAGCTACTTACTAAATATAATTGAAATTCATGATTAGGTATTATAAAAAGATGAAATAATCCAAAGGAGGGAATTCTTCAAATGATAATTGTAAATTATTTTCAATTAACTATATCTAATAAAGTATTTAATTGATTATTAAAATAATATTCATAGTAAATGTATATATAATTTTAATTTCTTTTAAATCATGATAAAATTGATGTTTAATTCAAATAAATTAAATAAAGTTGTTTGTGTCCATGGATTAATTAAACATTGAATATAGTTTTCCGATTTGAATAAATTTCAAAAAAGAAGATTCCATGATCTATCTTTCTTTTTATTTTCTATAATAGATATTAAATGTTTCTTGGTAATTCTTAATAATTTTATAATAGCGTTTCTTGATTAAAAAATTTCCAAGTTTTTTTTTCTATTGTATCATTTGATGTCGAAGATGAACAAAAAACTAAAATCAAATAATATTGATGAATAATAAGATATTAACATTTTTGTATATTTCATTTGTTTCAATTCAAGTAATATATTAATTAAATTTGTATAATTTTTTATTATTCGTTGTTGTAAATCAATAAAACAATCTTGAATTATTCATATTCGATAGTAATCTTTAAAATGGATATAGATGATGGATTTTTAAAATTTGTCTTGTTAAATGGATACTATTTTCAAATAAATCTAAAAACAACATATCCATACATGTAAGAAGTCATAAGTATTTATTCGAATAACTCTCTTCGATATGTAATAATAAACGTGACAACAAAATCAATTGCTTTGTAGATATTAAATAAGAATAAACAATACATTCATAAAAAATATCCATAAGAATTTTATCATTCGCAACAGACATAATTCATTTATGTTGTCAATATTATTCAAATAGTATCTTTGAGTTATTTCAATGTTCGTTTACATGATTCTAATTTGTAGTTGTTATTGACGAAATTTGATAAATAATTTTGATCTGGATCATTTTCTTCTTTTCCTTCCAAAAAAAATAAAATAAACATTTAAATGTGGGCAAAACTTTTTTTTTGTATTCGTATGATCATTTCTTACTGAACAATATATGTCACTACTACCACTTACAAAAATTTGAGAATAAATTGAATCAATAAGATCATCTAAATATTTATCATATAACATAACTTTTTGTTTTTTTGAAATGGGATGAATTCTATGACAAATCTTCAGTGAAGAATTCATTCATCAATCTTTTGAAAAATATCGATGATATAAATCATTGTGCTGATGAATTTAGTCTAAATAAAATATAGATTTATCATAGAATAATTAGCTTTTTTTTCAATAATACTAAATACAATAAACTATTTATAAAAAAACAAAAACATGCAAATTTACTTTCTTATTGATATTCGATTTTTCAATCATATTTATTATTTATTAAATAATGTTTTTTCAAGTGTTTTTAATTGTATTATTGTTTGACGATCACATTCCATAAATGACACTTAATTGTGATCTTGACAATTCTAATCTCTCATTCTCTCTTACGAAAAATAAAATGTGAGAGAAAAAAGAAATAAAATGACGATGATCGGACGATTTATTTTTTATCGTCCATAATTATTATCATCTAATTATTATTTCAACGAGAGAAAAAATGTATTGAAATGTATATAAAAATGAATGATTTTCAACTAAAAAATCATTGAATTATTTGAATCATATTCTAATCTTTTTTCTTTTATATTTTAGGTTACTTCTCAAAGATTCAAAATTAATCAATTCAATATCAATACAATACAATACAATCAAAACTAAAAATGTAGGCATTAGTTTTCAATTTTTCTTTTTTTTTCTTAAAGATCATTTCGAAGGTAGTAAGACTTCGATTGATCTTTTTCTATATAACTGTTTTCTTTTTATATCTTAGGAATTGGTCTAAACAACTCAAAATTAAATCAAGTCAATATGAAAAGAATAAAATAAAATAAAATATATGTATCCTTTTTCACTATTTCTCTTTCTATATGTATTAATTTTCTTTTTTTTTCGTTTCAGCCATCAACATCGTCAACGACGAAAAGTGAGCCATTATTTTTTTTTTTCTTTTCTCTTCTTATTGAGTTTGAGATTGAGTCTGAGTTGAGAGGAGAATAAGTTAGGGTGTTAGGTCTCTCGTACTATATCAAGTCTTCCGGATAGACCCTAAACACCTGCCAGGAGCTGTCTTGGTGTCTGTGGCAACACGGTCGGGCCTCAGGCTCACTGACATATGTCACCGGATGGGTGCATGTGGATGATGTGAGTTTTCCCGCTCGTGTACGAGCTTTACGCTCGCCACAGCGCCAGCAGGATGGTTCCTGGTCGCGCGCGTGAATAGAAATTAAAAAACATTTTTTTTTCGATTCAAATGCAATTTATTAAATTGAAAAAAATTGAACACGATTATTATTGAAATCGGCGACATAAAGATTGCCATGTCGATCGAATGATAAACTATGCGGATTATAGAACTGATTTGCTCCTGCTCCTCGGCCATTTCCACCTACAATGACAGTACCCTGTTTTGCTCCGTTAGGCCAACGCATCACTCGATCGTTCCCTATTTCTGCCACATAGATGGTACCCAATGTATCGACGAAGAGTCCGGCAGGATACGACAATTGTGTCAGAGCATTCCCTTCACCTTGACCTCCTGCGACGACAATGCCTTCTTTTGCACCTTTATTCCATTTCATTACACGATGATTGTTGTTGTCTGACACGTAGACAGTCTGTTGTTGATCGACAAAGATGAAAGTCGGAAAGTTGAGTGGATTGAGACCAGCATCTTTACCATTTCCACCAGCCACGATAACTCCATTCTTGTCTCCTATTTGATATCGTCTTACTTCATGTTTTTCGATGTCAGAGACATAGAGATATCTCTGATCATCCATGAACAATCTTCGACAAGCGATGTTGTCAATGAGGATTTCTCCTTGAGTTGTGCCACTACGACGAGACCATCGTACGACTCGATTATTTCCGGAATCGCAAATAATGAGACTATCAGTTTCTTTGGTGATTAGCACATCGGTTGGATAATTCAATCGATCTAAGGGATTTCCTTGGCCCTTGCCACCAGCTACAACTTGTCCATTCGTATCACCCATCTTCCATTGGACAATACGATGATTCTCGTAGTCAGCAATGATCATCGTTTGATCATCATCAACGAAGAGACCGAAAGGCTTGTGGAGTTGATTTGTGGCATCGCCTTCTCCATTCCCTCCAGCAACGGTCTTTCCATTTTGTGACCATTGAGCATTAATTGGAATAGTGGGAGTAACTACAATAAACAAAGAAAATGAATCATCATTATCGAAGAGATTTTTGTCTCTCATGCACGAGAAAGTACTTTCCGTGATTTAGTCTATAAGAAAAGAACTTTGTAACAATTCTTTTGTGTCGATAATTATTTCTAATATCTGAAATGTTAAGCTTTCAGAATTCTAAGGAGATTTCCATATACGATTTCATATATGTAAAGAAAACAAAATTTTGCAAACAGGAAAAGAAAGAAAAAAAGATAATGAATAGTTCTTTTTGTAGAGTTTGAAGTCTTTCTTGTTTCTCTCTTTCTCTTCTCATATTCATCAATTTTTTGTGTTCTTTCAAAATTTCAGCACTTTTTTTCTTTCTATATCATTTCCAAGGGGCATTGATTACACTAGTCAACGGTACAGTTTCCTTTTGACTTATTCTCTAGACTGAAGGAAGAGTCATCTGAAATAAAATCTTCCAGTATATGTGTATGTGTCAAGGTGAAAAAAAAACATTGTCTGTAGCAATAATGCTCATTTCTTTTCTACAGCTGCTCCGGTATAGCTTGAGAAAAAGTTTTATGGGGTTGAGGAATCAATTGGTACCATTGATTTTTGAAAACTTTCAGATAGATGTTTTAGTGAAAAAAGGCTTGTTTTAGCTCAAAGAAAAACTGTGCTCCAAAATACGTAAACTAAAAATTAGGAGCTCATTTTAGGAACCACCTCGGATGGCGCTAGTATCGCCTGGGATGGTGCTAGCATCAATTGGTATGCTAGGAGCATCAACTGGGATGTTGATAGCATCTTAGGTAACGCTACTAGCATCCCAATGGAAGCCCTGAGATCCCAGACTATATATCTAGTGAACATTAGTTATAATTCCCGAGCTAGTATCTCAGTGGAATGCGATCTTACTGCGATAAACCAGAAAACATAGATTGCGTTTTATTGGGAAATGGTCGATGGGTAAGTGAGCTCCATGTTTGAAGTTTACATGAGAAGCGCACTTTTTTGAACCCTTTTTCAAGGAAAACAATGATGTCTTGTCAACTTTGACTAAAGGGTTTCGGCGTCCAGGAATCGATTGATGGTATTGGTTTTTGGAAAATTTTCGAAAGGATTTTTTTCACTGAAGAAATGATTCTTTAAGAAAATTATGATTTTTCATAAAGGTTGACTTAATGTTGTTGAGAATGTAGAACTCGGGTCCATCAATAATTCCTCAAGATTAGTGAATTCGAGGATCACAATGTGGAATATCATTTCAGTCAATAATGTATCACAGAGTGCACCAAATAATCCTTCTTACTTCAGATAGAGCTGATCACGGTTCGGAGAATCGGTGCCTTATTTTCTGACAAGCATTTTTCAACGTCATTCAGGTTTCAAATCGTTGTTTTTTTATGGTTTTTGTTTAAGATTATCGAGGAAGCCAACACGATGATCAGTTATATTAATTTAAAAGCTATGCTGTATAAACATATATTTTTTTGTTCCTCGATTGTAGGGAGACTGATGTGAAAAGAGTTGAAAAGAGTTTGTCTGTCGGTCTGTTTTGTGGCAGGATAAAAAAACATCAAAGGTGAATTTCTTTTCATAACGGTCTACGAAAGTCGATTTCTCATAATTTTGAGTTGAATTTTTTGAGTTCAGGAACGGATTTTTTGAGAAATTAACGATATTTCCTGGACTTAAGGAAGGATCATATGAAATAAAATAAGTTTCTATGTGTCAGGATTAAAAGAGCGTCGGAGTCAAAGAAACATCGACCAAAAGACTTATGGCCAATTTGAGAGGAAGAACAAATATGCTCGGACTACGCTGTAAGAGAATTAGTGCATGAGTTTAATTCAATCATGACAATGCACTGCGAGCTGTTTGATTAAGTAAAACTCTTTTACAAAATAGTCGTCGCTGAAAATACTATAGATAGTTTTTCGTCTGTGCATGTATTGCACAATGATTGTGAGAGCAGAACAGAGAAAATGATAAGAAGATTGAACTCAGTCGAAGGTTAAGTCAGTCCTGCCGACAAGGGTTATTTGTTTCATATCTTGATAAGAAACTAGATGAATTTTGAGAAATGAAGGAAAAAAACATTTTTTTCTCTGTATACTGTCTTGGTTTTCTCACCAAACAATTGATGTAAAAAATTGAAGTATTTATTCTGATCGCGTAAACCCCCCCCCCAGAATAAAAGGCCATGGCCTTCTATTATGGAAATTCACATCGCTCTTTTCAGGGTGGCCTTCTATTAGGGGTGGCCTTCTAATAGGACTTTTATGGTAAAAAATTACAATTTTTTTTTGTTAGTTGCTGATTCTGTTTTTCTAGCTCGACAACTGAAAATTGAAATTTGTTTAGACTTTTTGAGCTAATGCTATCTGTAAACCATCTCCAGTGACCGACGTACAAACTGATGTTTTCTTTTTCATTACATATTACCCATGTAGCCAATTTTATGAAATAATGGACATTGCAATGCATTATTTTACAATAGAAATGCAATGGATGCAATTACATGATAATGCAACCTATTTCATGCATTATAATGCATTATTTTTAATTAATCCATTGCAATACATTGATTTATCAACGCATCATAATGCATTTTTTTTTATAATAATGCATTACAATGCATTGAAAATTTAGGCATTATCCTTCATTTTCAGCATTATTAGAAATAATGCATTGAAATGCATTGAAAAGTCAAAAAATAATTAATTATAATGCATTAATTCATGTTTTTCTTCAAATAATGGAAAATAATGGATCATTTTCCATTATTCATCCATTATCGGCTACATGGGTATTATATTTAATCAACAAATATTAGTATACCTATCCGATGTCTGGCACCACAAATACTTCAAAGAACAAAAAAAGTTTTTATATGTATTCAAAAGATATGTAATCGTACCAAAGCAAAAGAATTGAAGCGATCAAATAGGCATATTAAACTTTGTTTTGTTTTGACAGCTTTTGGAAATTGAACATACCTCTTTAAATTTATAGCAAAACCAAACAGGAGTGCGGTGGAGATCATACATGATCTCTCAAAATGCTAAGATATTTATAAAACTAGCACAGAATATTTATGTAATATCCAAACAATTCATTAGAAAGCCATGGCCTTCTAATGTGACTTTTGCAAATATGACTCAGGGGTGGCCTTCTAATGGGGGTGGCCTTCTATTCTGGGGTGGCCTTCTATTCTGGGGGGGAGTTTAGCTTTTATTCATGTAATGATTATAATCTTTGCTCATTAATATATGCCTGAATAGAGCAACAATTTTCGATTTTATTGATAAATAAGATGTTTAAAATTCCAGCAGTAAAATCTATGTTTCTCCCACTATTCGAAATAGTTTTATACTATTTTTTATGTTAGATAGAGTAATCAATTTTCTAACAAATTATATAGAAATAAAAAATTCTTGAAGTGTTTGGCGGAAAACAAGTTGATAGAAGGAACTTTTTCTTTGAAGCAAATATAAAGTAGCTTTATTACGTTGAGTTTCAGTGAATCAGTGATGATCTTTATATTGTCAACAGTGTATTTCTGGTGAAGTATCTTATATCTCCACCAAAAAAAGAATAATGTGTTGGAAAACTATTACCATATACTACAAAAGTTGCAATTCACTCGTATCTATGTGCATCTACTTGTTTCTTTTCTGTTTAACAAATGAGAAAAGTATTATGAACTTCGTTCATTTCTTTGCCGATTTGTTTATCCTTATAGAGGATGTTTCCAAAAGTTCGCTCGAAAAAGAAACGTGATTATCTCTTTAACTCGTCAAGCGGTTTACTTGAGATTTTTCTAGTTTCATTTCAAAAACTTCCCATTTGCAATATATCTGTAAAAAACGTTACACAAATTTTTATTTTGAAATTTTTTTGACCTTATTATGAATTTTCATATCTAACTTAATGAGATCTTTAACCGATGTCTTGCAAAAATGTTTCTAAGAAAAATCATCGAGTCACATCAGGTCAACTGACCTATTGCACTTATTTGAAGAGATGTTCTTTAAAAATTACAGACTTCACGGCTAAAATGTGGAAGAGTTTCATCTTGGTAAAATACTATAGAGTTCATCTAGCATAATGTTCGTAATTCTAGAATAGAAGAAAGACTAAACGTATTATAAAAATTTTTTTTTTTTTCGTTGAAAATGTTATCACCAAAAAAATTGTCCCAACAGTCGGTTTCGTAACATTGCAACGTAAATGTTGTCTTTCAAACACTGCGTAACAATATCCATAGTTCTATGTGAATTCTTTTCACTCTACTATGTCGCTATATTTTAACATGCTTCTGACAGTTGTTATAGGAATTTTTAAAATAAAAATTTACATAATTTTCTTACAGGTATATTGCAAAGGGGAAGTTTGAGTATTGCATTTGTA